AGAATTGCAAAATAAGAATTAACAATGTTTTTCCACTAAAACGTTATTTTTTAAACACTATTTCTGTAAAGTGGGTTGTTATAAATAAATTTGCCTGAAAATTTTAGAATTAAATATTTATGTTAATTAGTCCTAGAAGTAGGCCTATTGATGGTCTTTTTTTTCATGGATATATCTGTTTTTATACAGTCTATGGGATATATTCATACATTCATTGTTCATGTTTTTTAAAGGGGTCATATGATGTTGCTAAAAAGAACATTATTTTGTGTATTTGGTGTAATGCAATGTGTTTATGCGGTTTAAGGTTAAAAAAACACATTATTTTCCACATACTGTACATTATTGTTTCTCCTCTATGCCCCGCCTTTCTGAAACGCATCGATTTTTACAAAGTTCATCGGTCTGAAAAGCGAGGTGTGCTCTGATTGGCCAGCTATCCAGTGCGTTGTGATTGGCCGAATACCTCAAGCGTGTGACGGAAATGTTACGCCCCTTACCATACTGTGATGCCTTGTCCCGGCCGGAGCAACGAGACAAAACCAATAAAACCCGTTACAAACAAGGCATTCGTTGCATTCAGTGGGGACATAATTACTGATTATAATGAAAATTCTTTAAATATAAAAACGTACTTACAGGCTGTGAGTCAGAAGCACTAGACTGTCCTTGCAAAGTTGGAATTGCCCCACTTTATAGAAGCAGCCTTTGCGCACAGACGGCATTGTAGGCTACTCTCGCAGGAAACAATCCTCCGTAAAATGCGTTGCACACACACGAATATTTGGGTTGAACTGTTCTGGAACAGTGTTGTAAATACAACTTAACCACTGATTTCTAGTTGTGTCCTCTTTTGGAAGGCCAAACAAAGTAGTTTCGCTTTCACAACAAAACACACAGCGTCTGCACAACATGGCGGCAGCAACAACAATACTACAGCGAGAATCAAAGTTACACCTTCTTTCTTTGCGTGAACATTTGGGCAGTGTTAATGCAAATCTTCCCACATCATGACGTAGACATGTGGGGGCGTGTTAGAACGAACCGTTTTAGGTAGGATACTACAGCGAGAATCACAGTTACGCCTTCTTTCTTTGCGTGAACTTTTGGGCGGCGTTATGCAAATCTTCCCACACAGTGACGTAGATATGTGGGGGCGTGTTGAAACGAGGCGTTTTAGGAGGGCGTGGACGAGTCTTAACTTCTATAAAGAATATCTCTTTGGGTTTGAGACTTTAGTCTTTGCAACTTTAGGGATCTTATCTATGCATGAACAGCTTGTAACACTCCAAAGGGAAAGGAAAACTTGAAATAGCATCATATGACCCCTTTTTTAACATTACGAATAAGTAGAGGGCAGTGGCTGCTTCATGACCAATTTGAAAATTCTGTGCAACTGCCCCTAGGGGCGAATTGCGACAATTATACAATGTCAGAGTGAAAAAAAAAACCAAAGATCAGTTTAAATTTCAAACACCAAGCTACTTTATAACAGAGGACCTGAAAAGCCTGCCTGAAATACGCACAATTGAATTATTAATGTAATTTTAATGGTGAATGATTTGTTTGTTTTTACTCACGTTCATTGTATGGAAAAGAGCAACTCAGACATTCTGTTAAATATCTCCTTTTGTATTCCACAGAAGAGAGAAAGTCAGAGGTATGGGACAACGTGAGATGAGTACATGATGATGCATTTTTAAGTGAATAAATGCAGGAATATGAGCAGCACACAGAAGCAGAGGTGCTGTATCCAGCCCTAGGATGAAGTGTCTTGGGATGTAGTGACTCAGCAGAAAATCAAACAAAGAACATCAAGTGCTCATGTTCCTGAAACATCAGACTGCAGCAAGGAATGATGGCGCTCCGAGCGGATCGGGTTCTGTTTATTGGCTGATGAAAGTGCAGTCCTCAGGGAGAACCGTCTTTTTTTGGCCAATGACCTCACATCTGCATCTGCCTCCTTGTCCAGAAGCAGCGCTTTTATGTAACGTTTACTCTGAACATAAGACTGTGGCCAAAAGCAACCCTTTAAAGGGATAGTTCACCCAAAAATATGAGTACCTTTCTTCTGTGGAACACAAAAGGAGAAGTTCCAAGCTTTTCCAGACAATGAAAGTGAATTGTGACCAATGGCTGTCAAACAAGAATTTCAGTGAATTACAACTTAAATTTCAGTGTGTTTCTCTGAAAAGTTATCGTATGGCTTAAGAAGACTTGAAATAGCATATGGGTCATTATTATGTTTATTATGCCTTATGGTGTACTTTTATACCTTTTAGAGTTTGCCAGCCCCAGTTCCCATCCCCTTTTATTATATGTTACTGAGCAGCATGAAGATTCTTCAAAACTTCTCTTTTTGTCTGTTTTGTGTTGATCAGTATGATGGTGCATAAATAATTACAAAATATGCTTTTTGGGTGAACTATCCGTTTAAAATGCCAGCGCTTGGCATAGTCTGATATGTTTACGGTAGGTTGACTGTTTTGAGGGACCACCCATCCCCACCCTTCCTATTTAACAGAGACAACATTCACAAGCATCTTTCCGTAAGCCATCCTTTCTTCTCGGTTTGGTGTTCAGCCCTTGTGGTGAAGGCAAGGCTCGCTGTAACCTGATGGAGTGCAAGCTGCAGAGGCTAAAAATAGCAGAGCTGTTCAGTGAGTCAAAACTCTGCAGCAGAGACTCACACAGACTGGTGCATTGACACAGTGAACAGAGAAAGCACAAGAGATTCAAAGAGTGACATGAGATGAGCAAGTGGCAAATTGCAGTTATCCTAATGCACTGTGATCTGATTGTGGGCATTCAAGAGGATTTTATCTTGAACCTCGGAGATACACTATGGTTCATTTCAATAACTTAGATCAGTAAATCTCAAATTTCACTTAAAGTAAAATCTGGGTCCTGAAGCAAAACCAGTGTCCACTACACCATATACTTCAGCCAGGTTTGCTGTAAACAAGCTCACTAGGAGGCATAGAATTTTCCCTTGAATTGTGCTAATCTCTGTATTTGTTTAAGATTATACAGATTGATTTATTCCTGTGGTGTACATTGAGGGCTGTGGAGCGTGTATGTGATAGATGGATAGAAAGATAGACAGACAGACAGACAGACAGACTTCACATTTCATGTTCAGAATAATGTACAATTATATTTAAAGACTGGCATAAGTGTAACAGGGTCCTGTTTTTGTAGCCCTTCAGTTCTTGGGTCTCAGCACTCTTACAGATTCTTCACTCTTGGCATAAATGGTAAGTATGCCAACTGAGACTGTGAGCCACGATTGCTTAAAACTGATTCCTAACCAGCCCACAGTTATCACTAAACCAATGGCACTAAAAAATGGCATTCTAGAGATGAAAGACTTAAACACTTAGTAAGAAGATGAAAGTTTTTAAACACTTTCCAGTTAAGAAATATTACTGCCCAGAATTGACTTACAATACATAATAACGCACTACCGATACTGTCCAAAAGATGGCATGATTTCCTCACAATGTGGCATTATGTCTGCGTTTTCACTATGTACAATAAATGTAGATATATTTCTGAGAGAAAACGTATTGTTATGAAAGAGTTGTTATACGTATTGTTACGTATTGTTAAAGTGAGTTTTCTGATTTTCATTAAAGAAACTGTTGTATTTCAAATGATTATCAAAAGGCAGTGATTATTTAGGAAAGATTGCATGTGTCAGTAATTTTGTAGACAGCAACCTGAATAAACCACTGCAAGACAAAATCAAAGCTCTCTTTTTGTATAGCTGTCTGACAGGCCATTAGGACAGCAAATTACAGCAGTCATTATACTTTGTTCCCTTTTGTATCCCTTTTACTTTTAAGAGCATCTGCCAAATGTCTTGAATGCAAAGACCATTATGCTTGGATGCTTCATACCGTACAGGAAATAATTAATCAAATTAATATTAATAATAATAAATAACAGGTGACTACAGCACTGACATTATTATTATAGGAGAGACCAGGCCTAGTTGTCACAATTTTTACTCCAGTGATTATTTATTGTTACAGTATGCCCCATATTATGAAGTAAAATCTGTATTGAACTTTTCAGCAAAATGCAAAAAATCCTGCATAAACACAACTGTTAAATGAAGATTAACGAGTTACATTCTGAGACGATACCTAGTGTTCCAAGTTGCCTCATTATGATCAAATTTTGGGATTTGAATGACATGTTTGTAATCTTTGTTAGTTAAAATAATAGGAATTGTTTCAGTTTGTTTGAGCTATCAATCACACCTGGTTGAAACATGCTATATGTTTGTGTTTTTTCAGTGTGTTCATAATTATTCTTATTTGAGCACACAGCCAATAAGGAAAGCCGAAGCAGATGCAGTCTATCACAGATGGCTCCTTTCATTCAGTTGATATCAATGCCATTGATCTGTCCTCTAACCTCGATCATGTTCATTTGACCATCCAGGTTAAAATTAATTACTAATTAAAAGCATGTATGTAAATTAGTGGTTCAACACCCTAGTATATTAAATCATATAAATCGTTATGCTCCACGAGTTTTTCATTGAAATTGTGACAAAGATGTTTCGTTAAAAATAAATGTTAATAATGATATTATAAATATTAACAACATTATTTTCAGATGACAAGTGCAAACAAAAATACAAATACTAAAAACAAATAGTATAAAAAGATAATGGTGAAGTATAATGGTAAAATATTTTCTCTTATCCCAGTTTAATGTGCAGAGACAATGAAGCAAGCCTTTTTATAGTATTTATCTCTAATATAAATGTTCAAATGTATTTCCTAATTTTTTTTATTTTTAATGTAAATATACAGTATCTACAGTATATTGTCAAAAAATGTATATATATAGCCTTATGGGTTAGCACAGAAATTACATACTTCACCTTAGAAACTGTCATAATTAAATTAACATAAATCCATGAAATGGATGTCATATGAATATGTATACATTCTTTTATTAGGCATTAACACAGAAAAGTCGTGGACGTGAACTAAAAGCATCTGGGTCTTTTGCAAGGTCTTGACATCTTCGCAGTATCATCTGTATCCATTCCCTTTTAAAGAACAGTGATTCAATGGATTAGCTTGAACACTATATTTTAAAAAGTAATATAATGCTAGTTATGCTCAGGACTGTGATAGAACTGTACCTACCAGCCTGCATAAAGCAGAAGCAGGGCGTTTGTGGGAGCAGGTCGTGACACTCAAACGTATTCTCTGGAAGGCTGCAGTCAGTTCATCTATGGAGGATGAACGGTGCCCAGTCTTAGCACCCTCAAAGGCGGGAGCCTGCCAGAAAGCAGAGGTCCAAACATGAGCAGGGGTCTGTCCAAAAGCTTGGACCTGACTGGAAGCAGGGGTCTTCCAGAACGTTGGGGTTGGACCGTGAGCAGAGGTCTGCCCAAAAGTGCAGGTCTGACCTCGAGCAGGGGTCTGCTGGAAGGCTCGGGTCTGACCGTAGGTAGGGGGCTTGCAGAAGGTTGGGGTCTGACTGTGAATAGGGCTCTGCCCAAAAGCTAGGGTTTGACCCTGACATTTAGAATATGAAAGTGATGCTGCACCAACTTTTTGAGTCTCATTACTGAAACTCATCTTCTGGAAGGTTGAGATCAGTTCATCAATGAAGGATGATGGGTTTTTAAACCCACAGTGCACAGTTAACCCACCACTCCGAAAAAAAGCAGCAGTTAGGCCAAAGAAAACCTGCCCTGATTGCTGGCTAAAGGCAATCTGACTGAAGTCAGGTAGTCGTTTGAAGATTACACACTGCATTGCACTTTGTTGGGCAAAGCTGCAGCTCTAATTACTGCACTGGGAGATTTTTAAATACATTTACTCAATGGTTATACTCGTACGCAGTACTCAACTCCCTTGTCCGCTCCTTTTTCCTAATCGACACTTTGCAGCATATTAGTAATCTGCATAAGCGAAGATTCTATTTTAGAACGGTCGGTATATTTATTGCTTTTTGCTTCATGTTAAGACGTCATAAGTAAAGCCACTGCCGTATTGGGATTTCCACAAATTCTATTGAATAAGAAATCTTTTTTTTTTTTTTTATAAGTAAACATTAGCCTATCTTAACCAGTCAGGAATTTGTAGGCCTATTTCAAGTTTCCTTGTACATTCTTAAAACGCAAACGTCCTAAGCATGTGAAGGTTTTTTTTAACTTAAAGAGTAAAGTTATTTTTTTATTATTATTTTATTACAATAGCGAACATCAGATCAGCAAATGAACACTTCAACGTGTATTAGGGGAGAACCGGGGCGAAAGTAACGCGGGACGAAAGTATCAAAGCGATTTTCTCAGAGACCTGATTACATTTTCATGCCAAGCTTTGACAGCACGTTCAGCATGCAACCCTTGACTGAGCTGCCAAATATCACGTGATTTCGTCATCGCTTCCCGCGGTTAGGTCCGGAAAGCAGTTTTCAAGTACGGTAAGTAAATTACTGAAGCTGTACTTTTTTTTCTAATTACAAGTTGTGTTTCTCGTTTCCGAACATCAGATCAGCAAATGACGCCCCTGCTCTCCCCTACATGTGACAACGTTTTATTCAAAGACCCAATTCCTATGCAAACTCTCATGCTAGTAAAAAGCCATGATGTGGACGTTGGTCAATTAAAAACATCAGCAAATAAAATTTACGCGCTTCACAATTTATAGCCTACTTGCGACAGTCAGAAATAACTTTATTTCCAAGCATGTCACTCCGAGCAAGATTGCATTGTAGATCTTAATTTTTTAATTAGAAGTATTAATTATAATGCAATATCGAAATAGAGACTTGTATTGTAATATTCAGTTTCGGCTAATAATCCCAGATATGTGTTCATGTTAAACATTTCTTTCATTTTGTGTGGGGTATCCGTGTCAGCAGTATGCAGTAGACATATGAACGATTTCTATATATTGCTTATCCTGCGCAAAAAGACCATAAAACTTACAAATTACAAAAAAGATACAAATAGCATCCGAAGTAAACGCTGCTAACGAGGTCATTAAAGGGATAGTTCACCCAAAAATGAAAATTTGATGTTTATCTGCTTACCCCCAGGGCATCCAAGATGTAGGTGACTTTGTTTCTTCAGTAAAACACAAACAAAGATTTTTAACTCAAACCGTTGCAGTCTGTCAGTCTTATAATGGAAGTGAATGGGAATCACGGTTTTGAGAGTCAAAAAAACATACACAGACAAAACCAAATTAAACCCTGCGGCTCGTGACGATACACTGATGTGTAAAGACACAAAACGATCAGTCTGTGCAAGAAACTGAACAGTATTTATATCGTTTTTTACCTCTGATGCACTGCAATGTCTGAACTGTCCTGAGCGCGTCCTCGACAGCCAGCGCTTGACGCGTTTTCTTCTTCTTCTTGCTTTACGGAGGATCCCAGACTTATAAGTGCATTACCACCACCTATCTCTGAAACGAACCATTGACACTCCTTATTGAGATTGTAGATAAAAGCGGTTTCTCAATATGCGTTCTTGTCAGTACTTGTGTTCTTGTGAAACGTCATCAATCGTCGCCCAAGTACTGTTCCAATTCAAAGTTCACATCTAGACAAGTACAGTTCAAATCCCGGATGTGTTCTTGCTCCGCCCCTTTTATCAAGGATCAGCGTTCATGTATCCCGCCGAGACTAGGGATGGGCGATACCTCTTATTTTATTTTCGATCCGATACCGATATTTTCAAGCCCAGTATCGCCGATATCGATACCGATACCTCTAAACTAAACTAAACTGATCTTTTAAATTATTAAAAGAATATAATCAGTAATTATACTCAATATTAGATTTTAAAGCCATGTTTTTTAACATTTCATAGACCTTTTTTGTTTACACTGTCAGAAATAAAATATACTATAATTGTATTTTAGCCCTTTACTGGGGCAGTAACCTCAAAGGTGCAACTATACCCCTAAAAGTGAGCATATTAGTACCATACATGTATGCATGCTTTAAGGGTAGATAAGTTACAAAGGTGCACCTTTGAGGATACCTCATGAGAAATAAACATGGTGTCATGCATAAGTACTAAAATGCATTATTATTATTATTATTATTATTACAGGATACGTAAGGATCGATCCGCCCATCCCTAGCCGAGAGCAGTCTCACCTCGGCTAGTCCTTCTGACATTTGCTGCTGGCTCTGATGTCTCTGTAGTGGTTAAACATGAGATATAATTCATTTTGGGTAAATCTAACAGGCAATCTTTGGCCTCATGAATCTATCATTTTTTCCAGGTATTTCGTTTCACTGTAATGTATGTACGTTCCCCGAACTACATTTTTGCGGCTATTAATAGGCCTATGTTTAAAAGAAAACGAAAAGATGCAGTGGTGCTTGATATCATATTTCGTCGTATTGTATACATACAGTGAAGATAACCGGAGTAGCCAAGGCGAGCTGACTGACGTTATCAAGTACTCTGCTGTTCCATTTGCAGAATTACCTCATTAACCGTCCTCAGGAGTTCACACTTCTGAGTCGAACTTGCGAAGTCCGAACTACCGAGGACGCAATTCCGAACTTTGCGTACTTGGTATTGAGAAACGGCCAGAGTGTCAATGGTCCATTTGAGAGATAGGTGGCGGTAATGCACTTATAAGTCTGCGATCCGCCATAAAGCAAGAAGACGACGCATCACGCACCGGCTTTGAGTTAAAAATCTTCGTTTGTGTTTTACTGAAGAAACAAAGTCAGCTACATCTTGGATGCCCTGGGGGTAAGCAGATAAACATCAAATTTTCATTTTTGGGTGAACTATCCCTTTAAGGTTTTGGCTGTCAGTCAATGATGACCTCTGGTGGTTGGGAATCAAAATATTATCTATAGCCTAATATATAATTATATAAATATTTATATAACTATATATAATTTAAGGACATTTTAAGTTTTGAACTAAACAATATACTACGTAGGCTACAATTAAAACAAAACATATTTGCACTCTCTCCCTGACGTTCATGTAATGCACCACATCAGTGGATAATAAACAACTCCCTTGACTTGATCTGGTGTGTGACAAATGCAAAGATTTTTTTCCCCATTCTGTTTATGCATGCACCCGAATGTGCCAATATATTCTCCTAAATGTATTGGAATGGTCCAAATTAATTTATGCATTCATATGAGATATATGTGACTTATTCTAACTTTAATTTGCCTTTTTAAGAACTGTCCAGGGACAACAGATGAAATATTGGGCTTACAGTCCACTTTCTGATTATTAATGAGGACAATGTACAAAACTGTAATTGAGGTGGTATCCTTTTAGAAGTACTTTGTAAAAAATTACTAATATCTAGGCCTACCTTGAAGGTACTAATATGTACCATTTAGGGGTAAATAAGGAACAAAGATGTACGTTTTAAAAAATGCCTACTTTATGTTTTTATGTAGCTAGAAGAAATCGAACGAACAACTATTTGTATCTATTCTTTTCATATTAACATACTGTTTTTACCTGCTGTTCTGATTTATTCTGTTTATTCACATATGAGAGTGAAAACAGTAAATTCGGTCTCGAAGAAAGTGTTATAGCTTTAGACTAGACAAACACTAGATGAGCTTCTCGGACCTGTATGAACTCAGGCTGTAATAATTAGTGACACCATGTGGGATAATCTTCAACAAGTCAACAGATTCAGTCGTCATTATTGCTCGAACAAATCATTTTGCGTAACTGAATAACTCACCGGTTGCTTAATCTGAATAATTACACAAACGTGCGTCGAAATGTTTCCCTCTGGCCTCCAAAAACCTCAACAATGCAGACTGTAATATCAATTATTATGACATAACACAAAAATCTACGCAAGCGGAATCAAGACAAAACAACTAGCATTTATATCAATGAGTGAAATATTTATTTAAAAACTGAAAAATAAAACAAACCCACACACATAGTTTTAGTATATATCATACAAAGATATTCTCCAAAATGTTACTGAGCGGTCTTGTTTTTTTTTTCCATTAACAAAAGTGAGAGGCAGTTTAGAGGCTGGCTGAACTGGTAAGACTAGACAACCGAATCGAAACGGTGAAATAAACCATTACCGGAGGTGATGATGACAAAAATTTCCAAAAATAACGGAAATTAAATACCCAGTGTCGCAACTTAACATAACAGCCAAAGCAGTGCAATGAGTGAAACAATATGAGGGCATTAAGACATAACAACAAAAGGGATATACAGTAGCCTATATCTCAGTCACACAGCATCCACCCAAACACACACACATGCTATATTAGTAAGAACACACACACACGCGCGCGCGCGCACTCATGGTTTAGTCAACGCATGTTTATATTGAGTCTACAGGACCCTAAACTCAATCATTTTCTCTTTTGTAGTTACTGACTGGTAGTTTGTGGAGAAGTTGAGGTAACCCTGGTTTGTAGGTGACTACAAGACTGCAAGTCCCTGCGAGCCCTGGTGAGAGCTGTGCTGCTGGCAGACAGTGGTGGTCTACAAGGCTATGTGGTCTACATTGCTTTGACAGAAGTGAACAGACTTCTTGAACCCAATACATTTTACTTAACATTCTTCATGCATCTCCATTTTGTGTGAATCTCATGAAAACGGTCAAGAAATGTCCAAAAATTAATTCTATTTTGCCTAAAGAAAATTAAGCATATATATATATATATATATATATATATTATGTGAATATTTTAATTAAAATATTACTATAAATAAAATTATATAATTTAAACCTTAGGGGCTCCGTACCATTTCTTCTTTCTTTTAGATATCCAGTTGTAAAAGGGAAGCTCAAAAATCAAAATGAAACACACACAGGGATGGCTACATCTGTTCTCACACCACACTCTACTGATTTCATGATCTCAGTTCACAATACCAAATGACAACTTTAAAACACTGTCCAAATGCTACTCAGATCACGATTTTAAAGGTCTTTTTCAGGGAATGTGACCCTTTTTCCCTTTTGAAAGGCACGGACGTCTCTCCTCGCCTCAGTGTGAAGGGGTGCGCATATGTGGAGCTGGAAGAAGACAACAGGAATTAACAGATACTGTCGTATTAGCGTGTAAACCGTACGGGACCATTACTAATACAATATGGTGCCATATCTATTTGTGCTGAACTAACTAAGACCTAAATAGAGCTATTAAAACAAAAACAATGAGCTCCAGCCCGACGTGAGGTCTCACAAAAACAAGTCAGTTCATATATTCAGTCATGGACTTGAAACTGGTGAAACGCATCAGGACACAGTTTTGTTGAAATATCATACGTTAGATGAGCTATTTAGCAGTTTGTCCCTATAAGTCAACATGGTGGAACAGTAAAAAGCCAGTGGATTAAATCTATTTAGGGTTTCTTATAAAGTGAATGCCTCGGGAACATAATCGAAGTAAAGCTTAACATAAAAAAAAAAAACTAAATACAAAAAAAGTGAGTCTCGATTGAGTTTGCTAGTGTTTTCAGGTGTTAGTCCACAGTAGGTCATCAGCTATTATGTCCAAAGCACTCTTTTTAGTCCAGTGACCACTGCTAGGGGACTAGAGAAGGACGGACCCATACGAGGGCAATCCTACGCGACATTAAGGAATGTGTTTGAGAGGTGGAAGTCACACACTGCTGCGGTTTGTAAAAGTTGAGTCCGGAAGAATCACAGCACAGTGTCATATCCTGCAAAATGGGGCGACTCACCCTTGTGCAATGCATCATGGGATGTTTCACGGAGAGACGGGATTGTTCTAAATGGTCGGGGATGGGAAAGATTCTCCATTCCGTATGAGGAGGAAGAGGACATGAATTACTCAGACAGTTCAGCGAGCCTGCACTTCCCTCTGTGTCCCATCCACTTCCTTCCTTCCTCTCCCTCCCCATTCGTCGCACAATACCATTACACTCCTCAAGTCTCCAGCCTCCACAGGCCGGGGAGGGAGCAAGTTAGAAAAAAAGCACCTTTTATTTGGCTTTAATGTACATAAAGAAATCAAAAGAGTTAAAAAGTACAATAAAAAAGTGAGAAGGGAAAGATAGTGTGTATATAAAGATGTCAAGCACCCCGTCTGTAAGGCTGCTGCACAGAACACGATGAGTCTCAACCCGTTCCTGCGGACAAACACAAAAGACAGACAGCGAATTACGTACGAGCAAACACGACACACCCTCTGCACCACTAACTAGCTTGATACTCCATTGTCAGCCCGACAAATCTCAATCCACTCCATTGGCTAGGGAATTCTGGGAAGATTTTTGAGGAGGAAGCAGTTTTGGCTGATGGTCAGACGGTATTGTGTTGTTGACAGACAGCTGTTTGTGGTGTTATTGGGGGTCTTACCCTCTTCCTCCCCTCCCCAGCCCTCTGCGACGCCAGCGAGCTCGTAATGCTTCTTCCTCAGTTCACCCAGACGCTCCCTCTCTTTCTGCAGTCGGGTCTCCAGCTCCAGCACCAGCACCTGACACACGTTAAATGGTCAGATTTGTTCACATACTTGCTCAAATACATGGGAAACAGATTAATACACTCTCACCTGTGCGTCCATCTCTTGCCTCTTGATCTGAGTGAGTGTCATTGCGGAAAAGTCCATAGTTTCTGAAACAGAGAGAATTTAGCATTGAAACTGAATTTTTATGGCTTTTAATTCATGTCTAACAGCTTTCAGACTATTGAGATGATTTTCTTGTTTGCAGGTGTTTTTGTCTAATAAAATTTTCTTTAGAATGTGAATATGTATATCTTTCGATTTTAAGAAGCAAATCATGATTTCACCAGGCTGTGATGTGAATTACAGGCTACCTGTTCTTAAAAAAAAGTTATATATATATATTAGTTATTTATTTTTATTTATTAATTATTATTATTCCTGTGATGCAAAGCTGAATTTTCAGCATCATTACTCCAGTCTTCAGTGTCACATGATCCTTCAGAAATCATTCTAATCTGCTGATTTGCTGCTCAAGAAACATTTCTTATTATCATCAACGCTGAAAACAGTTGTGCTGCTTAATATTTTATTTATATAATATTAATTCGTGTTTGTAGAAACCCAGGATACATTTTTCTCGGATTTGAATGAATAGAAAGTTGAAAAGAGCATTTATATGAAATAAAAAATATTTTGTACCATTATGTTTTTACTGTCACTTTTTTATCAATTCAATGCATCCTTACTGAATATAAAAGGACACACAATGTCACTGACTCCATGTGACTGGTCAATGTTGTTTAAATGTCTTGCCTCCAGAGAAGAGCGTCAGCACAAGAGCTTGTGTGAAGGAGAGGCTAACTATGTTGACTTGCTCATTCCTGTATCTCTGGAGGGCACCCTAAACCAGTTTTCATAGCTATAGTTAAATGTGAAATGGGGCAATGTGACTGTGGAGGTCAATGAGAAGTAAAATGAGGCTGCCGCTACTGTTACTACTTTCTTCAGGCTCTTATTTAATGAATAACGGAGAAATGACAAGAAATTATGGGGGAAACGTTGCAAGCATAATTCGAGCCTGAATTTCCCAAATGAGCAGCAAAGCTAAACGTGTCTGAGAATGGTGAGTCAGGAGGATGAGCTGAAAAGATTGTGCTGTAAACCTCACCTGTGTCCTCGATCTGAGACTTGCCAGACTTGGTTGATGCCACGACTCCCGCGGTGGCCTGGGTGACCCCTTTGGAGGCCTGCCGAAGACGGGAAAGGTTTGGACTGTCCTTGTCTGCTTTTACCTGAAGAGATCAAATGGATTATATATCATCCTTACCATCATAGGGCTTTAAAGTTAATTCAAGTGCCAATTTGTTGTTGTACCTTAGATGCTGCGACCAGCTGAGCCGTGCTGGCGGCGATCTCATGTGAACACACCATCAGCTCCTCAAACTTGCCCGTGCCTTGCACCACCTGATCAGCTGCATCACTGCAGAAAGAAAAAAAATCTTTACTGGAGGCAGCACAATGGTGATAGTTCATAGATCAACTAGTTTAGGATTCAAACCGTAGGGCCCAATGATTTAAACAATGCGGAAAACGCAGGCTCCAGAATTGCAAAATCCAGTCATTAAAATGGAATTTACTGTATACTGTGAAATGTCACAGAATTGGGCAATTCCTGGACAGAATTGTATATGCACTAATGTCTTTGATTATTAAATCGCAAAAAGAAATATAAAGTCTACATGTTCTATGCGACAGAGTGAATGAGCGGCAATTAATTAACATTTTTTTAAGGAATTTCACACAATCGAGAGATTTTTTTTTATCCCCATTTTAATTTATACAGTGAACATCTGTTGTGCAGCACTTCATTTGGCCAAAATAAAAATGCAATGTTTTGTTATATATTAATTTTTATATTTTCATTTGATTACTAGTTTTATGGATTAATTTGATTGCCACATTTTTTGATGATAAATTTGCTTAAAACATCCTAAAACATATCTATAAAATATATAAAAAGTAAAGCAGAATTTATAAAAAAATAAAAAATAAAAGGGGCATGTAAAAAAATAAACCAATTTAATAGGGCCCTGTTATTAAAATTGATACATTTATTAAATTGTTCAACTTTTATGAATTCAATTTAATATACATGCTTTTTAATGATTCAAATGTAATTAAACCATTAAAATGAAGAACACAGAATTTGAGAAAAAATAAAAACAGAATTTATTAAAAAAAAACAGAAATAAATAAATAAAATGGAACATAAAACTGATTTTATAGGGTCCTAAAACCTATAAGCTTTCTGTTACCCACTGAGATTTTTAATCACTATGTAACAGCATTCCCCAAAAATGACAAACATTGTTATTTTTTCACTGTCTAAAATACTCACACCAACATGGTTGCGCCCCAACCCACAGCCTTGGAGGCGGAAATGAGACCTTCTGTCCATCGGGAATTCTTAGCGTAGAACTCCTTCATAGATGCGGCCCCCTGTGAACACAGCAGCAACTTCCTTAACACCTGTTTCTGCCAATTTAAGCTCGAGGTTTCCTAGAACTGCTAGATACGTTGACTCACCCTGCCGCTCTCCACGATGTCCCTCTGCAGGTCTTTGGAGGACAGCACCAGCACTTTGATGGCCTGCATGAGATCTGTACAGGACGCCAAGATCCTGCAGGGGGCGACAGAGAGCAACATTTAAATACTCACAGGCCTGTTTTGTATGCACCGGGGTGGGTCCGCTAATGCGTCTGGGTGAATGCAAACGTGCAGCGCTATCCAAGTGAAATAAGCTCAGCATGGTGACATTTTGATCACTGAATACTCAAATCCACTGAGGAACATCAACCAAATAAAATCTGTAAAAGTGCTTTTGTAACTGTAACAGTAATTGTAAAAAACATTATTTATATGAAAAACACATGTGGCTCAGTCTGTCTGACCTTTCATTGACTTCCATTTTGATTCCAGTGTCAACCGCCCTGGACTTATTGAGCATTTCCTGTTTTGAGAGCAAAGGGGAAAAACATTAGAGGAGTAGATTGGAGCGCTTCATGTTTTATTAAGCATCTGTCTGTAGGACAGGGAGAGCAGGGAGCCGTCTGATTACCTCAATCCTGGCGGCAGCTGACTCCACAGCTGCCGATGTGGCTGCCATCTCCTGCTCCACCAGATCTCCCAGCTCTCCTTGCTGCAGCTCCAGGCCCCGAGGACGCAACTTCTGCTCCGAGAAAACAAAATAGCATACTACATCTATTTCTGCATTATGTAATATGCATACTCATGGAATACCTGGATGATATATTCTGAATGCTAAAATGTGCAGCATATAACCAGGGCACATTGTGATAAATCATCTGTGATATTAAAATCGCTTTCTTGACTCGGAGATTGATCTGAGTGCCAAATATTAAGGCATATTACACTTGACTTTCTATTTCTAATGTGAAAAATTAATCTGAATATCAGTTGCAAATTATTAAACCCCTCCTTCTTGACTCATCTGATCGGATGGCAACTTGGTGAATTAAGTATGCAATGTAGCATACTACTCTCAATGATGTTTATTGTTGTATAATGTTGTTAGCTAAAACTGTTACTAATTTTTTTATTACTGAAATCACATAAAATATTAAAATAAAATAAAAATGTACTATTAGATGAAAACCTTATGATGAAAATTAGAAATGCTGCATTGGCAACTAACTGAAAATAATTTAAAGTACTAAAATTATTAATAAAATTAAGAAATATTTAAAAATAATAAAAATGACAAAAGCACAAAATTACTAAAACCAAAATTAAAAAGAAAACTGAAAATATAAAATCGAAAACTGGTAACACTACAGTATTTTACAGTGTCCTTGTTAGAAGCTACATGTACTTACTATAGTAATAACAACAAATTATGCATAATCATGCATAATCATGTAATTAATTAATATTACTCAGAACTTAAATGTATAATTACACTGTAACAAGGACACTGCAAAAAAAAAAAAAAGTGTATCCTAAAAGCCAATTCACAATATGAATAAATACTATAATAATACATAAATAATACTAAAATAACACTGGGTAGTACACGGAATATAACTTACAGTATGCAGTAAACATTAAATAAGTATTCCATTCTAGTTTCGGCCTAATTTAAATGACTCTGTAAGAAATAATAATTATTAAAATAATAATAATACAAATTCTCTCCACCAATTACATGCTGCTTTTTTCAATCCACTGTGCTATTATATTAAAACGAGTACGGTCTCTCAGTGGCTCAACTCACCTCGCCCAAGGCCATCACGTTATCTAGTGCCGCCCTCAGCCGGCTGCAGTCTGCCGTCCCCATAGACTTCTGCTCCTTGAGCTGGCAGAGCAACGCCAAGGCCTCCGCGCCACACGCCTTCACGTTGTCTGCCAATGCTGCCCACAGACAGATAAAGACAAAGACAGAAAGCAGAGAGCAGTCAGACAAGCCATCTGTCACCTGCAGACACTCCACATACGCTCGGCCAGACACACATTTCCTGCCATGTACGGCTGTGACGTGATCACTCGTGTGCGTGGGAACTGCATATTAGCCGTTTTGAGTTCAACAAGTTCTTTTAAAGCAGCTCTACCGAAAACATTAGGCCTCCGGCGACGGAGTTATTAACAGAACCGCAGTGACACTAATGGCCTTCCTGATGTATGGAGACCAACTCAAACAGAAAGTCATATTCTTGGACGTCTCTCTATATGTGGACACAGTGGTGTTGTAAAATATTCATCAGTTTAATAATAGAAATGACATTTATGCTGCCTATATCGAACGGATAGTTCTGGTTCTGGATGCTGATTGGTCGATACAGTGTCAATGAATGTGTCTTTCAGGAAGTATTTACATAGAGGTGCATCAGCTGTGCTGATATGATTACATAAGCTCTTTTGGATATGTGGTGTTCGGGTGATTGACGTCTCGTGCTCACCGTCAGCTTGCTCCACCGGCACCATGTGGGAGGTGGCGCTGCCCTGCACGATGACATCGCCCAGCAGGTGAGCAAACTGAGTCACCGCCCGCACCAGTCCAGACACATCTATCACACACATACAGGGAAATCAGTGAGAAACATATGAGTGCCACTGATCTCAATAGACTGAGTGTCAACAAAAGTGATGAAATGAAGTCTGCATGCATTCATGTTGAATCATTTTTGGTAATGGATTTTTAAAAGGTATATCCTTAGTTGAATTGTGTGAGGGTTTTTTTTAACTTGTGCATTTTGAGTGAAGAACAGTGATGGAATAAAAAAAGTTTTCAATAGTGTTGAAGTAGCTCAGCCGCCTTTAAAATGGTGTAGATTTGACTCAGTACTGAGTTTTTCCAACATTTAGCAGAGTAGCATGACAAATCACTAAACTATGGATGTGTCACGATGTATTGTGCAGCCTTACTAGCAAGAGAGCTAAAGAAACAGCCTGACAGAATGCTCCCCCTTTGTCTCGAGTACCGTCATTTCAAAGTTGAATCAGATATGGTTTTAATATTTCAGTTTGTTCAGAAAGTTCAATTTAAAAAAACTAGACTCCAAAATGAGTTAATCAATAAATTCTGTTCATGTTTTTTTTTTTTATATATATATATATATATTTCTTTTTTCATTTCTTTTTCTTTTTTATTATACTACTGCTCAAAACTACTTTGAGGACAGTAAGATTTTTGAAAAAATTATTAACTTCTATTCAGCAAGGATGCATTAAATTCAGCTTTGCCATCACAGGAATAAGCTACATTTTAAAATATATGAAAAAAAAAAATCACAATTACACTGTTACTACTGTATTTTACTTTATCAAATAAATGCAGCCTTGGTGAAAATAAGGGACTTCTTTTAAAAAGTTTTAAAAGTCTTACTGACCCCAAAATATGTGAATGTTAATATATAGTTCTCTTTAAGCAGCTTCAATTAAGCCAACTATTTTTTCAAGAGAGTAACTTTGCTTGCTCTTTAACTACTTTAAATGACGTGTAACTTGTATCTTGTAAAGCTACAGTTTCATATTAACTTTCGCAACACTGCTGGAGTCAATGGTACATTGATGAATGCTAGTTGAGAGGGGAAATGAGAGTGTGTGTACATGTAATTCACCTGTGTTATCTGATATAAAGCCGACTGTGGCCGACTGCAGCCTCTCCACGCAGTCCAGAGCCACCTGGCACCTGGACACCAGGTAATCTACACACAAAGGTCTTTTAATATTTATTACGCACTTGTAGGGCAATTCCTGCTGTGTGTGGTGTAATCAGTGGGAGGGTTTAGGGTCATTTGAGCTGGTCACTGACCGGCTGAACTGGTGCAGCTTATGTGTGCGGGGTCCTCTAGCTGATTCAGGCAGTCCTGTACGATCCTTCCCGCCTCCTCCAGAGCTGCTCGCAGAGCCGCCCAGCGCAGAGAGACCAACTCACTCTCCAGAGACTGCTCACGACTCTCCTACAGATAGAAAGACAATGAAAACAGGCATTTTAGACTTCATGTTTGTCATATTTACAGAGCATTTCTTCTGATATAATGAATCTGAATGCATACAAAGCCACTATTGTAACAGGACAAATACAATCAACAGTAAACACAGAATATTCCACCTTCTCATTGAGTTGGTTCTGCAGGGCCTCAGCAGCTTTCACACCACTCTCCCTCTCATTGGTCAGACTGCTCTGCACACGCTCTAACTCCACCCCCAAACTGGCCAGCTCCGCCTCCTTCTGAGATACCGTCTCCATAAGCCCCGCCTTCTCACTCTCTAGAGCAGACAGCTGAGTACCGAGCTGCTCGTTCGACTATACGAAGAGAGTGAAAAAAGTTGTCAATTACAAGATTTAATGTGACATTTTACTGAGAACAAAAATCATGAAATCACAAGAAACTAATGTTACTGTTAACTATAACTATTAAAAATCATTTTCATTCATTGAAAAAGCTGAAATAAAATAACAAAATTACTAAAACTAAAATGAAAATATAAAAATAAAAGCTAATTCAAAATATTAATAAATACTATAATAGTATATAAATAATACTAAAATAGAAAAAGAGAATGAGGGTTAGACATGAAAAAAGTCAGAGATACTGAAAATAGAAGAGTTAGGGACTGTTCACACAGAACGCATCTTTGCATCTAAAAACGCGAGACGCAGTGCTCAGGAATGGTTTTTAAAAAAAGCGCAGCGCAGAATGCCGCCTCCACCATGTTGCCATCAAATAAAACTGTTGCCATGCCAACTTGCTACTGTAAACAAAACCTCACAACACTTGCCCCACGTCTGGGACCTTCTGATTGGTCCACTGTTTTGGAACTGATATTGGGGACTGCACTGCATGTAAAAGTTGAAATTCTTTTTGAATTGACACGGCGTATTAACCCTTGTGCGACCTTATGGACATTTTTGTCTTTTTCAGTTTTGTTTTTTTAGATAATTTTGCCTGTGTTAATGCCAACTGCATAAATTTTGGCACAGGTGTGTATTTTTATTGGAATTTTTATATTTCACCCTAATTTCCTTTAATAAATCTATTTTACACTAGGTACAAAAAATAGTTCCTCTCAGGACCTTAAGGACAAAAATGTCCTCATTGAAACCCACTAAAATTGCGATTTTTAATCCCAGGGCCATTTAACTATAAAATGATGCAATATTTGTTAATAGGCTTTCATTCTGTTTGCAAGACTTTAAAATTTAAATTTTTACTATTTTTTTTACTAGATGGTGCCATTTTTTCAAGTTTGGCGTATAAAGCAAATACTCGCTTTATTCCTGTTTTCTGCTTATGCATATTATAGAGTCAAATGGATAAAATTATGCAGCTATAATTGTGTGGGTATGTTGGTATGGATATCAGAGTGTGGTTTGTATTGTGTGTCCTAAATAAAATGTTTGTGTGTTTGTGTGTGCGCACCTGTAATGTTTGAGAGAGAGAAATTATACTCTACTGCGAATCACAAATCCCACCGCTGTGTACGCCAGCGGAGCTTTGCTGGAATCTAATGGGAAAAGTTTGGTACTGCATCCAAACATAATCTTACTAAAAGCTAATTTTTTTGAGATATCAACCTCAAATTTGGAACACAAATTGTTTAGATTTATGGCTTTGATTTTCTGTCAATTTTTGAGTTCAAAATGTTTTATAAAATATATATTTTATATAACAAATTGCTCATAAATCATTTTCATAAACTTAAACCTCTAACTTTTTTGGTTTCAATTTTTTTACAACTTTTTTTTAACTTTAACAATAATCTGTCAAGGGTCTTCTTTAAAATGAGACCAAACTTAAGTCTGTACTCCCTGTACATGAACATTTTTGTCCTCTATGAACCTATGTGTAACTTTTTTAAATTGATGCACAAGGGTTAATAACACGGCGCACATGTGCGGGAAGCTGCAAAAGGTGCGAGATACAGATCCGTCATAGCCATACCATTCGAGCACTGCAGTGTTGACATAATTACATAGGCCAACCCAGCTCACCCTGGTTCCCTCAACAAAAACCCAACAGGAATTTTGGAATTTTGCAAAAAATAAGCTGTGCGACCAACAAAATTTTATGAATCATACATGTTTTGTTCATCAAGATAAACTCCACAAATGAACACAACTATTAGGAATTTTGAAGCCTAGATGTAATCTCCAGAAGTAAATAGTTAAACACAGAATATAAACAAACTACACCATGGTCACAAGACTTCAACGTCATTCACCATTAAACATTAATTTTGTTTGGCATGATTACATTTAATGTCTCCAACAATCTCTGTAGTCCCATATAGCCACTTTACAGCAACCGCTTTTTTCAAGACAAGTAAAAGCATAAAAAAAAAAAAATCACAAGGGAGTATTAGTGATGTATTTTATGTTGTAGAATAAACATGAAAATATCTTGAGCTTGTGTTAACCACAGACCACAGAATTAACCACATTAACCACAGAAATTTCAGGCATTTAACCGAAAACCCACTGACTTCAGAATGATAGAACTGGAAGTGCTAATTTGCTTTGTTTCCGGGTTTTTACCTAAAAATACATCATCCCTGCAACACTCTATAAAGCTTATTAAAAGTGAAACTGATACAGTCATGCTATAGATGTTAACCGTGTCAGTGTTTTGAGGACAGATGTCTTGAGTTGAGGCAGCAGTGAAGGTGCTGCAGCAGGTGTGCAGGTGACAGAAGGAAGTGGGATGGAGGGGGAGGCGGGGTGACATATCACCTCCCACATGCAGTCTGGACACATTAACTCAGGTAATTCAGCACCCCACAGAATCACCATGTCCACCTGCACTAGACTAACCGCAGAGACAGTGATACATGGAACCTGGGCTGAGAGCTGAACAGGGATGTATGGAAGAGGGTTAAGATTCGACATTTCTTTAAAGGGGTCATGAACTGAGAAATGAAACTTCCGCTTCATCTTTTGACATGTAAGAGTTTATTCTTCCTTGTTAGTCCAAAAACAGCTTTTATTGAAACCAAGCTGCCAAAACAGCAATTCGTTTCATATTTCATCTCAATATGATATCATAGTGCGACAAAAGAACGCCTCTGAAGATCAATGCCAACGTCAACATTACTGCATCTTTAGCTCCGCCCACCAATTCACGCACGTAGGAGGAGGCGAGTAAATATGAGACCGATGCAAACACAGGATTACTCAAGCAAGAAAATGATAGAGATTCATCCAAGCATTACAAGACTCTGAATAACAAGCTTGCTAATAAGAGGTCTGTACAGTATATATATATATAAGGTGTTTATTGTGTTTGAAATGGTTTCTTGGCATTGCTCAAGGATCTGGTACAAGTGTGAGTAACTATGTTTTTACCATGTCTCTCTATTGCTTTGTCTGTTACAGATTGTTTGATATGTACAGAGTATTTACAAATTTTTAAACAAAATGATTCATATTTTTTTCAGAGTACATCACAGCAGTGTCCATCTATTATTTTAATATGCAAAACTGTTAGCTAATCACAGCCGTGGGCATTCACTTCCAAGTCTTGAATGCGGCATGCGTATCAAAATGGCGTGTTTCAAAGAGAGGGTCAAAAATAGAACAGAATATTAACCTATTATGGTGTTTTTTAATTTAGAAATCTTGTTAACATTATAAGTTGACCTCAGAGAACATTATAAAATGTTGAGAAAGTTCATGACCCCTTTATACAGTATTAGGACAAAGAATGGAGATGGATTCATGACAGAGGTGAAGAGGAAGAGAATGATGGGTAGAGGGTGAGGTCCCACCTGTTGGGAGGAGGTGACGGTACTCTTCAGGGTCTCTAGTTCAGATCTGCTGGACATGAGCTCGGCTTGTAGAGCTTGAAGCTGCTCTAACTGAGCCTTCTCCTACTCGTGTACATACATGAGGATAGGGAAGTGTAAGACAAGCATATTACAGATACATCAGGCAGAGGAAGTGTGTGTGTGTGCGCGCGCGCATGTGGTTTGTGTTCCGACCTGCTGACTGGTAGCATCCCGAGCGGCTTTCAATCTGTCCTGCATCTCTTTTTTCACATTCTCCACCTCGTCCTGGGCGGCACGGGCCACCGTCATCTGACGCGTCACCTCGGCATTCTGAGAAACACATAGACATGTACAGTTTAGCACAGAGCCAAGACTCTTGGCTGACCCAGTTCTTTTCCCAAGGACGTGGCGCCCACTGTCGGGATGTCTCTGCGGTGGGATCAGAGCGTGCTGCTGTATGGCAGTGAGTGTGATGACAGCCTCTAAGCATGGCAGAGGACCAGAGTGCCGAGTTTCATCTGTGTAAGAAATAGAGCAGAGTCTGCAGGGAAAAAAGTCTGGTGAAGAAGCTAAACCATCTGCAAGTATACAGACAGGCCTGACACTGGAGCTCAAGTGAGCAGTATATAGTGTGCACACTGTGTATGTGCAGTACGCAAATTTCTCCATCTACTATCTACATGGAAAACACAGAATACCGACTGCATTTGCCAAAACAAGCATGCTGAGTGAGATACTGTATCCCACAACCCAATGTGCTTGACCTTCCATTTCCAATGTGAAGGAAATGTGGAATAAATGAAAAATGAAATACACACACACATACATATACATATATATATATATATATATATTAGGGCTGTCAATGTTAACGCGTTAACTCATGCGATTAATTTTACAATCCTTAACGCGTTAAAATAATTTAACGCAATTAACGCAAAATTACTGAAGCACAATTTCTATTCTATTCTATCATATGATGCGATTTAAATTTTTCCTTTCTCTTTGGAGTGTTACAAGCTCTTGGTCCATAAAGAAGATCTGTAAAGTTGCAAAGACTAAAGTCTCAAATCCAAAGAGATATTCTTAATAAAAGTTAAAGGGATAGTTCACCCAAAAATGAAAATTTGATGTTTATCTGCTTACCCCCAGGGTATCCAAGATGTAGGTGACTTTGTTTCTTCAGTAGAACACATTTGATGATTTTTAAGTCCAACCGTTGCAGTCTATCAGTCGTATAATGCATGGCAATGGTAACAAAATCTATGAGAGTAAAAAAAACATGCAGACAAATCCAAATTAAACCCTGCGGCTCCTGATGACACATTGATGTCCTAACACACGAAACGATCGGTTTGTGCCAGAAACCGAACAGTATTTATATAATTTTTACCTCTAATACAACACTATGTCCAACTGTCTTTGGGCGTGCGCACGGCATCCGGTGCGTGAGGTGTGTACGCGCTCTGGCGTAGTTTACG